AGGGACAGGTCGAAACACCGATAGCGGTGAACTTGCAACAGCACGACAATTTGACGACAATCGTGTAGAAGCAGCTGCTCCTAAGGACCTGCATATATCTTCTGTTTGCTCTCCGCACCCTAGCCCTAGCTGTTGGAAGTGACCCTTTTGGGACCAAAGGAACCAGTTGAAAAGGAACCCTTCCCACACGCCTCGGGGATGCAAGCCGAAGTTGGACACCCTGTCGAAAAGCAAAAAGGGCAACTTCCCACACAGCATCCCAGAAACCGAAAAGGGTCACTTCGGTTAGCTGTTCCCGACAAGCTGTTCGAAGTTGCCCTTTTTAGTAAAAGGGGCAACTTCCCACACCTTGTTTTGGATGCTTAACGGCTGGCTACTGTTAGTGGGAGTTGCCTGCTTGCCGTTAAGCCTCGAAACAAGGGTGTGGGAAGTTGCCCCTTTTACTAAAAAGGGCAACTTCGAACAGCTTGTCGGGAACAGCTAACCGAAGTGACCCTTTTCGGTTTCTGGGATGCTGTGTGGGAAGTTGCCCTTTTTGCCCTTCAGCCCTAGTTGGGTTTCGCCCATTCCAAACCATGTCCTAACGACAAGGCAACTGCAAGTGCCTGGCCTCGAGAAAGAGAGGACGATGCCGGAGACTCCGAGAGGACGAAAGCGATACTTTGATCTCGAGCAGTTACAGCAACAAAATTCCAAATCAAGCTGGAGAGCTTGTGGCCTGTAGCTCCGCACTTGCAGACATCAGAATGCAAGAAAGCAGTGAGACTGAGAGACACATGGCAAAGGCAGGCGATGAACTTTGTCCACTTTTCTGGTACAGTCAGAAGTCAGGACTCAGAACAGCTTCGTGATACGCAAGAGGGCACGGTCATAATCCATAGGCCACTCACCGGGTGGGACTTGGAATACCGCAATTTGCCACGACGTTAGAGACATCCTTAGTGTCACTGCAATTGCGGACAGAAGCATACGCACACAACAAAAGGCCACAATGACTTAGTGCTGCGGAGAAACCCTTGTCCAAGGAGAGCTTTCGCCAGTCTTCGCGCACACTTCTTTGCCGGACGTGGCTCCGGAAAGACAAAAGATAAATTCGTCCTTGGATTCCAAGTTCCAAGTGGCCAGTCAATTCCACACACCTGGAAAACTCAAAGTGATCCATCTGGACTGCAAGCCTCTGGAGCAAGATATCTTCTGGATTTCTCCGTGTCGTGACAATGACCAAGTAGTGCAGCCTTCTACGCAAACGACGAATTCGCCGCCGCAGACGGATGCGCCGCAGCACCATGGCCAGCACTTAATCGAGTGGCAGCGAGTGCGAATACGAAGCTGGCAGCGAGTGCGAAGACGAAGGCGGCAGCGAGTGCGAATGCGAAAGCGACTGCTGTGGTCAGAAACAGCAGCAGCATGTGCTGGCATGAGGCTCCGGCTCCGACCGCTTCAAAGGATTGGCAATTCACACATATAGCACTGGACTGAAGCCCGGGCCGTCAGGTCAGTTGCAGGACCAGCCGCCTGGCCGAACAAGGATGTGGATCAGCTGAGCACAGAATCATCTAGCCAGCAACAGCAACCCCGCGAGTGCGATTCTTTTTTCAAGCTGTCCACTACCACTCGGATGGCAGCACCAGGTGGCACCAGTTGGCTTGTGCCATGACAGGCCATGTTCTCCGACCCCTTAAGCTCTCAGCTCTAGGCTGCAACTCTGGCAGAACCCGGCCTATGCCTGGGATAGAAAAGGGATGTTGCCCACATGTTTGCCCGCAGGAGAACACAGTCGAGAATGGAGAATGCGAACGATGTCGAGAGCGAGACACACTGCAAGAACTACGGCTCCTGGCATCAGTGGCATCCCAAGCAGGAATCTAAGCCATACGTGCAAGTAAGTGTGCACGTGCAAATCGAAGTCCGAATATTCTGGAGATCCACTGAGCCACTGAGCCCGGCCAGTCCCCTTGACCAAGCACCAGTCCCCTTGTGGCATAAGAGGGCATGTTCTCGAACCCCCTTTAGCTGCAAGCTCTGCAGACTCTGGGTTGCTACCCTGGCATAACCCGCCCGGCTTCTGGCTAGCAAAGATAAATGAACTTTGTCTACTGTTTACATGTTTGCCCAGATGAGGACACAGCCGTGAATGGGAACCAGGGCCAGGGCGAGGACGAGGCCGACAGTTTTGCAATGCAAAATGGCCCTTCTCAGCCCGCTCAGCTGCAGGCAAACGGACGAACTATTCCTGCTGGCGGGGGGCCTTCATACTTTCGTACAATGCATCGCGGCGCCTCTTCTTGTTAGCGATGTCGCGCTCCATCCTGGGCGGGCTCGGAAATCGGAAAAATCAAAGAACAACATGCCAAAAACACAGAGCAATAGCTGCCAAAGCTCAAGTCGATTTCATCCTGAAGTTTCTCAGCCATAAACTCCGAGTACACCAGGATAGGCGTCCTTGCCTTCTCCATCATCACATAGCCAAGCGAGCACTCATTCACAACGACATAGCCGGCGCTGAGGGGTGGTTTCAACGCAATCATCTTGCCAAAGATGTCCCTCCTCGGCCGACTTCGGGATTCGGGACCCCTCCACAAAATATCCTGTAGTCTGTAGTTATTATCGCTCAGACAGAAACCCAAAAAGATACAGTCCTAAGTCCTAAGAATTGCCAAAAGAACGCGAAGTTTCGGACTCGGGGATGGCAAGACCTCCGACAAAAGCACAGAAAACTCGACGATGTGAAGGGTGGTGCTGCTAGCGCGGCCCCCTGACCTGAGCGAGACATTGGCAGAACACAGCCGTTGTAGCAAACCAACCAGACCGACTCCTGTGCGAGCAAGACTCTGTGCCATCTCCACGACCGCGGGCACCAATGGGTCGTCAAAGAGTATCACCGTCTTACCAAACATGGAGCTGGGTGGATTGGCCATATTTCTCAGCTGATGCAGCAATGACAACAAAGCAAAAGCCCTCATTGCACTGTGCACTCTGACACAACCAAGTTCAACAAAGTGGCTTGCGGATGAGGCTTCTCATGGAGTCGTAAGACTCCGGGTCGAGGAGAGAAGTCGGCGAAGCCGAAGTCGACACCGTGTAGAACTTGCCCAGGAGCTGGCCCGCCAGGTCCGGTGCCTGCGTGACGAGGGCCAAGGCGTTGGCGAGGGCGTTGTCCGGGGCTGTGGTCACCTGATAGATCTTCTTTGCGTTGTCCTCCTTCTTCACCTGCACGGTCAACTGCGCCGGGAAGGTTTCCAGGGTGATATCGGTGCCGGCATCGTTGAACACGTCCAGGCCCTTAAGGGCGAAGTTGCCGTCTTTGACCTCCATCGTGCCATCGGTGCACCGCTTGGCCGCCGCCTCCTGGCTGATGGCGACCTTGAGCACCCAGAAGCGAGCATGCTTTTGGAAGAACCTTATTGCGAGACCCAAACGAACAGTTTCTACATGAATCTCGCAAGACAATGCCATTGTCTAGATGCCAAGCAGCTCTTGCAAGAAGTCTTGGCCTGCCCCATGCAGTCGGCGTCGTACCATGCCGGTTTTGACGTTTTCGCTGCTGGAGAAGCTATGGCCAAGCTTGCGTGCGCCTGTGCGCCGAGCCTCCAGCAAAGCCGCCTCCGGCGACTCGACGAACGTCGTGTGGGGCAGCCTGGCCTTGGGTGGCAGGGGTTCACTCAGGCACGTTTCCCTAATTGCACAGCTCACCTTGCTGAGAGCCGAGAGGCACATCCTTCGGCTTCGTACTCCTTGAGCAAGTCTTTGAAAAAAGACACAGACATCGCATAGTACCCCGTCGTGATGGCCATGGCGAAGTACGAAGGCGAAGTCGAAGCAGTCGAAGTCGAAGGGGTCGAAAACCCTGAGGGTCCGTGTCTCTGAGAGAGAGAACTTAGAGTGCCAAGTTCGTGCTGGAGCAAAGTCGGGGCAATGTACTCGTATACGGACTACTTGGGGTTATGGTGTGCCTTGGCCTCACAGTCTCAAGCTCCGATGTTGAACAGCCCACATGGTCGATTGCAATTCTTGAAAGCCAAGGCCTTAACCTTGAACCTTTAACCCTGGACCTCAGCTATATACCCTATGACATCCTTCCTGTACCTCATGATCAGAAGCCCCATAACCCACACCATAACAAGGAAGACAGGCAGCGTGAAGAAAAATCCAAATCCCGGAACCTTCAACCCTGCTCTAAAAAGCTTGAACCTTCGTGCCGAATTTCCAAAACAACTTTCAGCCCTGAACCCTAGACCTTATGCTAAAAAACCCAATCCCACACCCCAACACCCTTGCCCTAATCTTCGATGTCGGCTGGCGGCCTTTGCTTGCTCGAGAAGGCACGCGATCCCGGATGCAAAGGGTATTCCCTCAGACATAATTAAGCTTGACCTGTGAGCACATACACTAAGTGTCGTTGGAATGGGTTGAAGTTTCAGTGTAGCTCTGTTGTGGCCACAGGCTCATCACAGATCCTGCTTGTATCGCAGGTGCAAATAAACTTTCGCAAGGGTCACTTCCTCCACAGTTTTCTTGTGGCACATCTCAGCAATCCGCACCATGCTCCCTACCATGTCCTCTTGTCGAAAGCAGTGGTAGCTTCGAGGGTTGATTCCTCAGCTATTTGGGATGCTCATGATGCCCCCCCCCCCCCCGCGCATGCAGTAATGTCTCTGGATGCAGTTGGGCTTCGGTGCTTGCAGGTCCAAAAGGCAATCTCCTGGTAGGCCTGAAAGGTACCAACACTGCAATACATTCCGGCCTGGATTGCAGGAGTGCATCAATGAGTAAGGCATTTAAGTGCAAGGCGTGAAATTTTGGTTTCACAGGGTACAGGCATAGCTTCTGCTCGATGGCCCATGCAGCGAGCTTGAGATAGGCATCGCAGTATGCATCCTCGGCACCCCAGTATCTAACAGGCAAGATAACCATAACGAATTACACATACACAACAAATCAGCAACCACAATTTCACCAGGAAACACAAGCCCCTTGCATAAGGGCAGCCTGGCCCTCTGTCAGGAGCTGCGGGGAGCGCTCGCAAAGATTGAACCAGTGGGCAAGGTGCCACCTGGAGTGATGATTAGGGCTGGGTTGGCAGTAGGGATGTTCTCAGTTCTAGCACCTACCTGTAGATAACCCTTATAGCAAGTTAGACTAGCAATGTTGCAACCAGATTGCAATGCTGTTGCCAGCTGCTCATCTTGATAGCTGTTGACATTCTGAACGGCTTTTCCAGCCATCCAGGCCAACACCACTCGGCCCTTGAAGTCAGGACATGCAACATTGAACAACTTACCCAGCAACAGATACGGATCTGCAAAGCAAAGTTGCATTGTAGGCTTTGCAATGGAAGCTCGGGTAGCCGGGGCTTGTCGTGCTGAAGCTCGGTTGGCTGTGCCTAAGATTGCAGGAAATCAGATCTTAAGTCAACATGCTACGTATTGCTGCTTGCCCACGAGGTGCTGGATCTTGTGGACTTTAGCCCACGACACAAACTCCTTGAAAGCAGCCTTGAGCTGCTGGTCGCGGCCACCCTCACCCCAAACTTGAGCATCGGCCATGACACGTAAAGCAGAGCCCAGCACAGACTGCACCAGGCCCAGATTGAGCGTGTGCATCGAGCACCAACGAATGTACTCCAGAGAGAAGTTGGAAACTCCCAGCAGAGGGCCTCCGAACACATGTTTATAACCGAATATAAGAAAACTCGCCCCTGATTGGTTGATGACATAACTAAAGAAATAATACCTAATGGCTTCCGGGCACATTCGGGCATCCGACAGGCTTCATCTTCGAAACTCTGTCGATCCCGGCGGTGCTGCAAGTTCCCCGGCACACAGGCGTAAGTGTCTTTGCAAGCCTGGCAATGATGGCAAATCTTCTTGCCATTCCATCCCACCTGTAGCGCTAGCCACTCCTGCAAAAAACAAAGACCAAGGCTTCGGTCTAGTTTGGGTTTAGGGTTTAGTCTAGGGTCTTCAATTGAATAATGTGGAATCTGGTATCTGGGCCTGCTAGGCATATAGCTTCAAAGGCTGGGCCCCAGGAAACAAGGCCTAGATACTGGTAGCTTACAATTGGCACCTTGGTGTTTGGCGTGAGGAGCGAGGACTACTACTGAATCTGAGCAATATCTCTTGGATCTTGAATGACGATTCGAGACCTTTGCTGTTGTTCTGGTGGAGCAAACACCTACCCTCACCCAAGCATAGGACACAACTACAGTCACGAGTCGGCTTGTCTAGATTTTCGGCCCCTAATACCATCAGTCAATGCTTTTCAGGGTTAAGCCCCGAAACTAAAAAAAACAAACAGACAAACCATTAAGGCCCGAAACCAAGCCCCCCCCACTATCCCCCAAACAAGCCTCAGATTTAGGCCCTAAACCTGAAGCCCAAACTCAACCCAAATACCCAAAATTGGAGCCCTTCCTACATATACCTACTCTCCTTCTCTGCTTCCAAGGCAGTGGCTAGCGCTCATGATCAAAGACACGAGGCACAGCTTATTGGGAGTAAACATAAGCCCTACAACCTGTCCTTCTGCCACTTCCAATCTCCTTGGTACTGGATCACAGCAGCATACACCCGCTTCTTCTCCCCAGACGGAGTCTCGACCATAACACCATGCTCGAAGAGGATATTCAGGGATTTCACTACCTCGCAGTTACAGTTGTTGCAGGTTTTCTTAAACTGAATCGGTCGACACATATTGTGTAGCATTGCAAAAGGATGTTGATGCGCCTCCTCCATGAAGGCATTCAGGGTCCCCATGCCGACACTGTATCCCTGAAGGGAGGCTTCGATGAGTTCAGAGTAAATGGTTCAGGAGTCATGAATCGATCATAGTTGTGGAGCTGCCAACCTGCTGGAAAACGAAAAGCGGCCAAACTGTGAGCCTTGCATCTTTGCATGTTTCCAAGACTCGGCCCATGGCCACAGCCACCAGCTTGTCCTGGTTCTCCGTAAACTGAGCATCATCACCCCAAAGGTAGAGAGGGATGTGATCGTCTGTTGCACCGTTTAGCGGCATTCCAACATCACGAGCATGAGCCCAGAACTGAGACACAGCAGCACTTGCCGTCTCATCCACCGGAAGAGCTCCATGTTTTACCAGCCAGGGAAGGAGTTCATGAGGCAACAGAACCGGGAGCTGCCTTACTAACATTGTGCAGTAGGCAGCCACGGTGTGATTCACATGATAAAGCAAGCACACAATGTACGATGCCAAGTATCTTTTTGGTCACCACATCGTTGTGCATCACAGGGACAGGCAGCTTCGTCACAGGGATCTTGGATGTTGCATTCTGCCCTTCTACATAGATTAGAAGAATATAGGTCAAGCCTTAATTAGTCTACAATCAGATTCATCCAAAGATACCTTGCATGCAGTGCATTTGCGAAGCATGTCTCGCTGGAAGTTGGACTTCCACTTCCCCGAAGTCTTGAGGAGTTGCCCTGCTGCACCTTCCAATTCCAGCCCATACGACTGAAACTCCTTGTTCACCACCTCCAGCATCTCTCGTGCCCCAGCAAACGACGAGCCCTGGGATGCAGGTCAAAGAACAAGCACTGGGTCATCGTCAAGGCCAGGGAAGCTTCTGTTAAAGATTACTTTTCAGGGCTGCATATGACATACCACGACTTCATCCTGCTGCAGTTCATAGGGACCTTGTCTCAAAGTAACAGTCACAGCCCCAACCAGGAATTCATATCCTGATGTAACCAAGATGCCCCCTTGCCGATCGTCTTGAGGACATAGGCATGCAACGGAGTACTTGTTGCGGCACCTGCGTAGGGGAAGATCTTTGACGCTGGTTCCAAATTTCATGTTGTGCTTCTGATGAAACTTCGGGTCGTCCAGGGCTTGCAATCTTGTTACACTTAGTTTGTACTTGCATGGTAGAGTTATGAATGAAGTTGCAGGACTAAGGACTTCAGATATGCAGCAGTCTCAAAGCTATATGGCCACAGGGAATCATGTAGGGATTGTTCGAGACTTGTTGTGGCCAATGCTGCTACAACTACTAATACTGCTACTGTTAATGCTACTAATAAGAATAATAGCATTAGCATAATAAAATTATTAATACTACTACTGCTATACTACACTTAGCTCTTGTACCCAGAGATTGCTCCAGACCTAACACCCTTTGTCAAAGCTGCTGTGCGCACGCGTGACATCCGCGCATTGACACTTCTCAGCTCTAGCTTCGAAGCCCTGGCATCACAGGATCTGATTTAAAAAGACGGCAGCACCTCACCAGCAGCATAGGGTTGGGATGACAAGCCTGGTTGTCAGTTAGTGTAGTTGAGGGGCCCAGGACCTTGCTCTAAGTACACTAGCTACGTGTATACATATACATACACATACATGTGTATATATATATATATAGAGAGAGATAAACATAGATGTGCATATGCCTACTAGTGTCGTGTCTGTGGGGGCACAATATTCAGTAACTACCAATGTAGAGTCACAGGGGCTGTGTCCAGTGAGCATTGCATCATCACCCTAGCTGCTGCATGGAAAACTATGAGGGCTCCAGCAAAAGGGGTTAGCAAAAGGAAACCATAGCTCCACACGGCCAGATCATGATCAAGAACCCGCTCCACAGGCTCAGCGCTTCTTGTTGGCCTTGGCCTTCGGCTCCTTCGGAGGAGCCTGAGCTGTGGCACATGCAATTGATAGTTCTTCGGGCTTTCAGGGTTTCAGCTCATGCACTAGGGGGGTAGGGTCGAGGCTTTCGGGTCTAGCTCACACAAAACCCGAGTGTGCTAAATGAAACACTACACACATATATACTGCATGTGGCGAGGAACGAGGGCTGTCTTAATGGCTTTGACCTTGCCAGCCAAGACTGTCAGCGCCGCATCAACAGCACGCAAAGTATCATCATAGATGGCCCTTTCGCTCCCAACCTAGGCGATCGGAGGATAACCCTGAACAGTATTGTTTCAGATCCAAACATATGCAAAGCCTTATGTTCCTAGTCTGGGCACGATGTTTGCCTCCTCCACCTTGCGGGCATACCAAGCCTCCAAACTCGAGCGAGCCTTCTCGACCCCAGCCACCGCCTCACCGAGCTCACTCTGATAGCCCTCCTTCATCTTCTCCGACCTGGGAGATTTCGAACTAGATGAAAGATTCGGAATATGTATACAGCAATTAATAAGTAGTCCTTCCCTACTGCTAGACTGTTGTGTGTCTCACAACTCTGGGTCTAGGATTGGGGGACAGGGGCAACAAAAGCTCATTCATAAATCGTACAGAAGCCTATGAAGAACATAACTTCGAATGTTCAGCTGAATGCTGGAGGCACAGACGTAGACTACAGGGAATGGATCCTTAAATAAGGCTTTCATTTATTTTCACAACCGTGGTTTAGGGCTTAGGGCTTAGGGGGTTAAGGGCCTTAAAGTTCCAGTATTAGATATACCGTAGTACGGTGTACCAGCATTTGTTTGAAGCTCAGGGCTGAGGAGTTCTTAGGCGAGGATCTGGGTTTAGACTTTCAGACAAGCTACATGGCAGCAGCACCGGGGATCTCATTGCCCAAAACCCGGGACTCTGTCAGCTTGCTTGAGATCTGACTGAGTTTGGAGGTGGCCTGCTTGCGGAGGTTGGGTGCTTTGCCTCTGCCTTTTGGCGGTTTCTGCTCCGTACCTTGCCCACCTGGTGTGCCCCCCGGGGTTGCAGGAGGGGGCCGTGACTCATTGGAGCTGGCAGCACCTGCATTGCCAACACGATACCGCGTGTTTCCCAAAGCACCCGGCTGGGTCATATGCGACCTTAGTGGACAGCACGGTTTAGGTTTCTCGAATGCTACAGTCTGCAGGGGGACCTAAGAGGGTTTAACTTGTCGGGGCTAGAGGAGGCCTAGGGCGTTAATGCCAGGGCACATCAGTGCCTTTGTGCCCTCGGGATCCACAGCTGCTTGGGCATGGAAGGAGGTCTGATGCTTGTCCTCCTCCTCGCTCTCAAACTCCATCGAGTCCCAAACCTTGAAGCATTCCCAGTCCTCAGCTGTGGAACAGTGATTAATACTCAGAGCAGCATCCTCATCTTGGGTAGCAGCAGCAGACAGAGTAGAAGTGGTAGTGATAGTGGTGGTGGTATAGCAGTAGTAGTGGTAGCAGCAGCAGCAGGAGTAGTAGTAGTCGTAGTAGTAGTAGTAGTAGTAGTAGTAGTAGTAGTAGTAGTAGTAGTAGTAGTAGTAGTAGTAGTAGTAGTAGTAGTAGTAGTAGTAGTAGTAGTGGCAGTAGTAGGAGTCGTAGTATTCTTCGTCTTCTTCTTATTATTATTATTATTATTAGTAGTAGTAGTAGTAGTGGTCGTTTGCTGTCCTAGTCGTCAGAGTAGTATGTAATATGTAGTATGTAGTATGTCGTAGTGGTAGTAGTTGTAGCAGTAGTGGTCGTGGTAGTAGTGGTAGTCGTCGTAGTAGCCGTACTAGTTGTAGTTGCTATTGTTTCTGTTTTTGTTGTCCGACCAAAGTATGACGAACATGGTTGTCGATGTTGACGATGCTACTGCTCCGCTGGTTGTTTGTATACAGTTTTTTTTTTCAATAGGTGCCGATTTTGAATGTTAATACCATATTTTGTTATAGTAGAGCCACAACTACCATATAGGCAGGAATACTCTATGTTTGTTTGTTGTTGCTCTCACTACCCTTATTGTGACTACCGTCACGATAATTACTGCTGTGTTTGTTTTATTGCACTAATCCTCCGATGATTACTAACTAGACCTAGCTATTTGCCTATCAGTGCTGCCCTTGTCTTCTCAAAATCTTTACTATGACCACTTCTGCATGTATGGTTGCAGCAATTGCAACTACGAGTACTACTATCTCCATTCGTGTTATTTGTATCACAGTTATTCTTAATACTACCGACAATGTATTAATGAACTTAATGCACATCGGTTTCTATGCTTTGCAATGACAAGTAGCACTATGTTGCCAGGCGTCTACTATTAATCTATTGTAAGAACTTTCACGCAATATTTAGGATGTTGTTTGCTACTGTTGCTATTCTTTCGGCTCATTCTATCTAAACCATACTATTGAGTGAATCTACCCTTTCAAGGTGTCAAGGCTTAGAGCTTAGGGTAGTCAGGTTGGCAACCCGTCGGAGAAAATAACAAATCGGCCAAAAGTCTTCGTTGTCAGGGACTTCCGGGTGCACGTGCCAAAACGAGCTGCCCAGCTCCTTTTTCCTATCTCTGATAGCTTTGGCTGTAGCAGTGCCGTACTGGACCTTCAGCTCCCGGAACGTTTTCATGACGTGTTTTCCACGTCGCTTTTGCTTTTTTGTCAGTGTCGCGTTGTACACAATGGTGCTTTCACCCCAATCCTCACCTGCCTGCAACCAATCTTCAAACAGCTTCGAGATGATCGCCCGGTCTTGGCTGCCAGGATTGAGGGTTTGAGGTGTAGAGACAAAACACATCCGTCCATGAGAAATCTGAAACTGATAACTCAAACTGGGATGCTGTACTTCTTGCCTTTCGCAGCTTCGAGGACAGCAGCTGGGCACGTTGGGCCTGTATCAGGCCGGGACAACACAGCATTGGTTATCGAGGATAGATACTTCTGGCTCAAGCGGGTTGTTATTTGATCACAGGTTGCAGCTGTACTTGTTTCGATATTAGGATGTATTCAGGTCTTGGAGGTTTGGGTATTAGGATTACGGGCTTATGATTTTATAGGTTGGTGACTACAGCTTCGGCTTTTCTGGACGAAGCACTGATGATGTATTGAATCCGAGATGCTGTATATGAGACCCCTTCCACAGCTATAGCCCTACCCTAGATTTAAGAACTATGGGGACCACAATTGCATACAATGTATGATTGCATACCACACACATATATATATATATATATATATATGTATAGGTTTTCATGTTGCAATTGTTTCAAGTATACATATCTGTATATGTTCAAGATTGAAGCTCGCTCTATATGGTACTTCTCTGACACTACGGGTAGTTTGGAGACGGGGCACTGTCGAAGCTTCGATTGAAGCGCATGCGCTGGTTATGGGCCAGCCGGCGGTCCCTTTCATCCGGGGTTTCGTAGACCCCGTTCGACAGCTCGAGCAGCAGGCCACAGTCAGCCATCTCCTTCAACTTGCATTCCTGTGTCAGAGTTTGTTGTATCTAATAAGCTTGAGACCTGCTGCTGAAAACCCTTAGTGATGGAATGGCAGGGAGGGGTTGGAGACATAAGACTCTAATAATAGGCGCTTTTCTGACTTAGCCCATTGCGTAACAGGAATATTGCACCAACCCTAGATAGCCTCCAATTGGCTGCTGTCCAACCTCTGAAGCCCTGTGCGGGCAAGCTCAAGCTGCAGGTCCGTGATCTTGGCCGTAGATGCTGGCCCGAGATCGTCCAGCTTCGGGGCAGGCTCCTCTGCTTTGGACAGTGGGCAATCAGGAAGAGTGGGGTAGGTGGCAGACATAGGCACTACTAGGTTCAGGTACATAGGTCGTTAGGTGGCTGGGTGGGTAGTTAGATAGCTTAGTACATAGGTGGAATGACAACAACATATATTGGACCCTACATGTGGGGTCGGGTAGCCTCACCTCTGGAGTTTCAGGGATGTGAATCAGCACAGTGTTGTCGGGCCCTATGAGGTTCTGACTATTCCAACTAACTGCACGGACATAGAATAATGCGGTAAACATAGCTTAGTGGTGCGGTGCGTGTATGTGTCTGTATATGTATATGTATGGCCTGCCTGTGTATGTGCATGCTTCAAAAGCCACAACACCATGCACCCATCTCAGATAGTTGTTCCATCAAATGTACACACACACACATCCATTTGTGGCCTCGTAAGCAGAAGCTAAGCTTGTTAAGGCATGCATACATGTAAAGATAACCCGACAAACCCACCCTCCCCCTGCCCCCAGTAAGACTTCCGACATTGGATCCCAAAGCAGTTCGTCCCGTCCTCGGTCTGCATATCCATGAGGCCTCCTGTCCCACCACTCTCACCCGAACCAGTGATCTGTAAGGACTCCATGTGCATCTCCACCTGCCTCATCATCTCCTGAATCATCTCCTCATCGGTCTTCGGCTTGTCCTGCAGGTAGATCTTGTAACAGCTGGAAATCACATCGTTCACCGCAGACTCCAGGTTCTTCATAGCCAAATGGAGCTTATTGTCGGCTGCCTTCTGCGAGTTTCCACACTCATCCTTGATGCTCTTTAGCCACACAGCCATCTTCTCAGCCACAAGCGGGGGAGGTTTCGGGCCTCCACTGCCTGCAGCAGCTGTCTGCAGCACCGAAGCCAGTGCCTTCTGCACAGCATCATTGGCCTGCGAAAGCCTCTTTTGGGCGTGCTGGGACTCATCCCTGCTCTGCTTGCTGGCATCAGCAACATGCTTCAAGCATTCGTGGCATCGCAAAGCCTGTTCAGCGACAACATCACCCGGGTGTTGCACGGCTGCAAACTCGCAATGCTGCAGGCTCTTCAACCAATCCACCACCCAGTCGTAGACTGCCTGCATGCCTTGCTCGGGAGCTGTGTTGACAGGGTCCATTCCATCCTGGAAAAAGGTGAAGAGCTTGTTCTTCAGCTCAAGAGCCTCCTCGTCTATGGATGTTGGGCCCCCCTTGGCTGGAGTTTCCTGCAACAGCATGTCCAAGCTGTGACCCCAGCTCAGGGTCCTCATAGAATCCATGCGTTGTCCTCGGGAGTATGTGCATGAGGTCCGGGGGGCTTCGGGGGAAGGGGCTAGGATTAAGCTCTAAGTGCAGTGTAGGATCCAACAGCCTGGGCACTGGTTGGTGGCTGGCTCGACTCGACCAGTGTCTCTGCCTGATGCGTTGTAGAGGCCAAATAAACACAATCCTGATAGATTGCTTCATGCTCCAAAAATAACAAAATCAAACTTTCCGCTTCATTTAAGATACCATGTCTACATCAGCACATGTGGCTTTCTCCAAGGCTGGCAGGAGGTTGCGCGGGCTGGGGACAACAGACTTTTCTGGCGAGGGTGGCTTCAAGGGGGCAGCTACCCTTGGCTCTTTGCCCTGTCCGGTGCTGCTCTTAGCAGGGGTCCCAAGTGCTTCTGTGGAAACTTGCGTGGCCTGCTTGTTCTGTGGTGGGATCGTCTCGGCAACACTTGCTGCCTTGGGCTCTTGCGTTGGACCTTGCATGGCCTGTTGGTTCTGTTGCGGGATCTGGATCGTTGCCTGGGGCTCTTCCGTGGGACCTTGCATGGCCTGCTGGTTCTGTGGTGGGATCATCGGGGCAACACTTGTTGCCTTGGGCTCTTGTCTGGAACCGTGCATGGCCTCTTGGTTCTGTGGCAGGATCACCGGGGCAACACTTGTTCGGAGTGGCTCTGCAGGAAGCCCTTGCAGGGCTTGCTCTTGAGCATGGGAGGTCCTCGCAACAGCAGCACCTGCATTCGAAGAAGCATCAGCTGTCACCTGCTGGGGAGAGATCTGTCTCAACCTCTTCAAGTCCGGGCTTTTGCCCACTGGGGTGGTCACTGCCACACCCGAGTTCTCCCGCACACGTTTCGTGATATCGGCAAGTTCTTGGTCGATGTCAAAGGTATCCTCTCCCACCTCAGATTCACAATATTTACCTATATCTAAGAACAATTACACACACAGACACACGAGGCACATGAAGCCTTGGCATGATAAACCGGATTCGTGAGGCTTGTACCCTGGACCTAGACCCCCCCCCTATAGTAAATAAATCAGAATCACCCCTAGCATATCTTGTGGCACGTGGCCGGTGCATGCGGCTGCTGCTCCGTCGGCATAGCTCGCAGCTCTAGCTCGAATTTAACTCGGAAAAAGCAAGCCCAGGATAAATTCCCTAGCAATCCTCATAGAACGACACAATCGGGGGCTTGGGACTTGAAATGCCTGCAAATACCACACCAGGAGGCCCAAACTAACGAAAGTAACGCCAAGTAACGCCCAAGTAACGCCCAGAACGCGCCCAGCACGGACTTTGCACGCAAACTAACGCTAAAGTAACGCCCCCTTTTTCGGCAGGTTGGACTATCCGGCACCTCCTGGTCGGCCACGAGCCACAGCCCAGACCCGCATTTCTCGGGTTTTTTCGCTAGATCCACACAGTTTGGGTGGTTTTCTAGGGGTCTTAAGCAGTTTGTAGGTGGAAACACTGTATTATTTGTGGTTTACCTAAGATTATCTGGGTGGCCTGAGCAGGATACACCGTATTTACAGTGTTTCTTCTGGGTGTGGTTACACTGTTCTTGGTAGGGTTTCTCGAGCCCTCAATAAGACCCCACTAGGACCCCTCAACAGGACCCAGCTGCTGTAGATGTTCATCGGTTTGTCGGATTACAAAGAAGTTGCACAGTTTTCCCTTAGCTGATATACTCTAGATCCCCCTGCCTGTTGTGGGATTTGTTGACTAGGAGCTCAAGAATTTCAGTGGTTTTCTTCAGCTCACGAGGAGGAGGAAGAAGCAGTATAATTTCATGTGGGCTGCTTATTGGTGGTTTGGGTACTGGATTCGAAATGGAATCCGACCCCGTGCCCACTGCACTCTGCTGTTTTGGTTTTGGGGCCACCCAAACAACCAGCATCATGAGCATCAGCGGGTTCCTTGGGGCCGTCCCGGGCGCAGTAGGATTTGCAATTAGGCTTGAGGGGGTCTGCTACATTAGCCTGTGGGTTACGGGTTCCGGGCTTTAGGGTTAAGGTTTATGGCTGATGGCTAGGCTTTGGTTCTGGTTTTCGTTAAGTATTGGTTTCTATAGAGCCACAGCAAAATTTCTGCGAGGCTTATTTTAAACACACCCTAGGTTGTTGTTAGGAGTCAAGGTATATGAGTACTAGGATTTGCAATTAGGCTTGAGGGGGTCTGCTACATTAGCCAGTGGTTTAAGGGTTCCGAGCTTTAGGGTTAGGGTTTATGGCTATTGACTAGGATTGCTTCTGGTTTTCGTTAAATATATGTGTGTGTGTATATATATATATATCTATACCTAGCACATTTACAGCTAAGGCTATTGCAGGCCTCCCCAAGGTATCCTACTATCCTATTAGCATTCTTATTAGCTGGCACCCCCACCCCCATAGCTTGCACCTAGATGACTCCTAGGGGATATTGCACCTCCAAATAATTCTAAAACCACATCTCTTTCAGGACTTAGGCTTGTAGGCTTGTCATTGATTGTAGGCTTTGATCTGTACATGTCTAAGGCTTCAGGTTCAACAATTCAAGCTGGTCCAAGGCTCTCGGCAATCTTATCACAGCAGGCACCTTAATTAGCAGGTTCCGCAGCATGTGCCCGCAAATCACAGCACTAGCTACCTACTGCAGTTCTTGCTGGGAAGATCTGGAGACCACATGTCCCTAAAACCCTTGGTGTAAGTAGTGGGCCTTGCATCATCACTGGAGATAAACCCGACCCCACATGAATCAACGAACCCTGATCAGACAGAGGGAAGGCAACCCGGAACCATGTCGAATTAGCTCCAGCAGGCCGACACTGCTGGCGCAGCCAGCTCTGGCAGAGCCCCGAGCTACATACTAAACCTGGGTGTTAGGGTTCTAGGGTCACAGGCTTAAAGTCTTCGGGTTTCAATACTCACGACTGGGAAAGGCCTGCTAGAATCACAGGGCCTGATAGTCTTAGGGCATCACTAACAGTTTCGCGAGGGCTAATAGTTTTAGGGGTTAACAGTTTCGAGTTTAGGAAAACCTATGGCCCAGGTCTTAAGCTTCTGAGTATCAGGGATTTGGGTCTAGGTTCGGGGATTTGGGATTTAAGCTCTTTAAGATAACACAACAGAAAATCAGTAGCACCGTCATCCGGCATCCCCTACAAGCCAAGGCTAGGCATTGATTGATCCCAAAACACATACCGGCAAAATTATTTGTACATAGACTAGTACATTGCCTCTGAATGCCAGAGTATTCTTGGGACCCTGACACCTATGGTTATTACAGAACTTAGAATATGTAAACCCAAGTCCCCGGATGTAAGTTTTAAAACCCAACTGAAGACTGCGGACACTGAAAGCTGCAGCTATGGGTTACCTACCTGATAACCCACCGACAGACACACACACACACACACACACACACACACTCCTGTCGAGGCCCTGCACATGCTGGAACACACGGCAATGCTGTCTGGGAGGCCAGATCACAGCAGGGCTCCGGCTGGGTTGTTGGCACTAGCTAGCAAATAACTGCAGCTGTGAGCTGGGAGTGATCAACTACCCGCAGGGTTGAGTGCATCAATTGTCCAGACATGCTACCATAACATGTGCCTGGCACCTCTCGAGATCTTTTAGGTTAAGGATGTTGGTAGCTCCGATGCAAGAGGTTCAGGTAGCATGATCATCAAGTAGCAGTTGCAACTTCTGTCTAGGCACTTATGTGGGGGAGGTTGAGGTTGCATCCTAATTTGTTGGAGGCTTGGCTTCAAGGCTTGGGTGTGAGGAAGCACAGCATCCCCTGCCCGGTGTTTCTTTACACTTTACACTCCCAGACCAAGGCTTGCCCTGTATGTTTCGAAAACTTCTTGCGAGGGCTGCAACTGAAATGGCACAGCTGTATCTGGTACATACATGCCTTCAGCAGCAGCTGTCTTCATCATCACCATGAGATCCTCTAAGTGAGCTCGATGCCACAACCCAGCAGGTGGCTCCTGGGATAGGTTCAGGGAATGTGCAACCAGTAAGTAGGTATATCGTGTTAAGAGCCAACAGGTCGTTTTGTCAAACTCGACGAGAATGTAGTGTGAGTACACTTGACTTGGTGAGGAAAACAAATTGTTACCATTGCCATTGAAACGAACATCTAACCTTGCACACACAAGACTCCTTCCACCCCTGCCGCAGGAAGGCCGTCAGCGCCTCGCGTGAGACCCGGGGCTCCTGAATGTCCTGAGATTCCGAGGGAGGTAAGCTTAACCCGTAGGTTTAGGGGTTTATGCGTTTAGAGCTTAGGGTTCAAGGGCCTAAGCAATTAGAATATGCACATCAGCACACCTTTACATGTGGAGTTCTACCTCTAGACATACTGCAGTAGAAGATTAGGCTTTACAACCAGCTGAAGTCGAGCATCTCTCCACTGGGTGTGTAGACTGGCAACTCGATGCCCGAAAGCAAGGGGGTAGCTTTGGGTCTGTTTGAGGTGCTTCCCCCCAGTCACCTTTCTCACACCATTCCGATACTTAACTTTCAGAATCTCACGGCCGCCTGCCAGCTGCCTTTCAGCAAGCTGTTGCCGCACATGCTCCGTCATCTTGATCTGCAGAGAGTGCATCCAAGGCCTCAGAATAGTGTTCAAAGTACTTCCGAATTTAATGGGTTAACTAGCATGAACCTGAGCATATATGTGTGTATGTGTGTAATCTGTGTCTTGTCTTTGTGTGTGAGGACTTTATATATACATAATATATATATATATAGAGAGAGAGAGAGAGAGAGAGAGAGACTCCAACATGTAGATGAGGCACGTGCATGCATAGGCCTGTGTATGAGTAGAGGTGTGTATATGTATAGTATTGGCGGGTATGTAGATGTCGGTGTAGATCTCCAACTCATTATACCTGTATACCTTGATATGTATATACCTATATACCTATCTATCTATCTATATATATATATATATATATATATATATATATATATATATTATAAGCACACACACAGCAGTGCGTGTGTGCAACATGTAGATATGTTTCAAAGTATCCATGTGTGTATGTAGGTAGGTGGTAATATTGTATGTGTTTGTGTGTATGTAAGGAAATGTGGGCATGCATAGAAGGAGACATATGTGTACACTTCTGCACCCACTTATATGTGGGTGTATAGAGGTATGTGCATCTGTGTGATATGCAATGCAATGCATATACACGTGTGTACATATATATATATATATATATATATATATATATATATAGCGTGGGAAGCTGTGTACATGTAGATAAACACATGTGTGGCATGGTACAGTTACACTCACATGCACTTGTGCATGTATGTATGCTTGCATGTGAGTTCAAGCACATGTATCCATGATTTTTTTGGGTCTGTACATACAAATATGTATGCATGCACCGATGCGTATAATATATATATATATATATATACATGTACATATATATGTATATATATGTCTCTTGGTTCAATACATACACACACATATATATATACATATACATACACATACACAGATTATACATGCACTCTTCCTTTTATAATAGAAAATACTATCCCTATTATGATTACTGTCATCCTATGCACGTGCATATGTTGATGCTGCTTCTAGTCTCATTGTCTAAGTATCTAGGTCGACATTATGTGGGGATAGTCTAGAAGTATTCACCCTATTTTGTATCAACCAACGTGTGGGAGGCCGAACACTACAAATGGTGGCTAAGCTTCTGGAAATGGCAATTGAGGCATGAGGGCTTCCCGATACGGGTCTTTGCAAGCTCGGTAGAAACTGATTCTCAATGGTTTCGTAATGGGTTGAGGGCTCTTCGTCCTTCTAATTATGGCTTCTTGTGAGAAACCACAGACTGGCATATAGTTTGCATACATTAGTGCAGGCAGGAGTCGCTGTTCCGATGGCCACTTGTGGCTTTGGTGAAAAGCCGCCGTACATGCCCATCCACCTGGTTCTGGTTTGGACACGAGCTCAACTTTGCCGGCTAGGATTGATTCTGCTGTCATCCCACCCTGACCCCTAAACAATTAAGTCTCGGGCCATCTGGCCATTTGCACCCCAATCGGGTGTTGGAATAGGTGTTTCAGCGGAGGGAACCAAACCAGTCTGCTGCTTTGTGGGTTCTCTATGAACCATATGATGTTGCGGCATACAGCAACCAGGCATAAGAGGAAGAAACGTGTCGCAATAGCATTGCCCTCCTCGACAAATACCCGGGACTCGTTGCCCCATGGCTCACTTTCGGTTCTTTCATGGGTGGCTGAGGACATGAAGCTAAAGCTGCCACATGGCAGCCCTGCAAACAGTAAAGCATGCTCTTGCAAGCGCAAAACATTACGACACGCCAGCAGAAATCCGGCTGGGCGTAGTATGTCTTGGTAGACAACATCAGCATCCTTCTCGAAACTTTGCCTCAGAAGTTCTAGCGGCGAGTGGATGGCATGTGTCACCGATGAAGCCCAGTTGCGCTCGCAGCTTCCGAGCTCCTCAAGCAATAGCCAATCGGCCAGGGATCTACATGACTGAAACCAGCTAATATAAACTAACTGTCTTCAGCATAAGAACCAACTTCAACTGAGTGTCGGAAACCTTTGGTCACACTGGCAACGCCAGCGAACATCTCATAGCACGCCAAGTCCTAGTGCCACACATGGTGTCAAGTAAAACAGCAGCGTCGTGCCTGACATAGTCTGAACACACACACACACATCACACACTGCACACAGCATTCAGCCAAAGGGCTCGGCACGTGTGCGTGGGAACAGTTGCTGCAACATAGTCCAACACATGAATCCTCACGTGCTTTGGCGAAGAGAGAGTATATGTAATATGTAACATATGCATTGTGCTCTTTCTAGATTCTAAAACATGAATTCAGACCAAGTAACAAGATTGGTGGGGCCCCCAAGGCCAGCAATACACATACCTGTATCCTTGTCATACCAATGGCCCTGCGCGGAGCCTCCATTGCATCAACAGCTCTACTAGGATCAGGAAGCACCACTCACATTAAACAGATTCTTGGAGCCGGATCAGAGCAGCTTGCAATGCCTTTTGACTTGAGTCAGATGCTGTCAGCTGCACAGCAGTGGATTGATGTACTGACAACATATCCTTTGTGCACACTCGAACTCCCACTGAATTCTGTCCCCTACCCTGAACAAGTATTCCGATTAGTGTGGGAAGATACTGTATACCCCCAAAATAATTCCTGACCTTACACATAAGTCCCTGAGCCCTAATGCAACACAGCTTGGGGAATGGGAGCACCTCGGACACTGGAAGCTGTCGAAGGCCTGGGTCTGGATCCTTGTGGCACCTGGTGGTCCGGTGTCTGCGCATCTGCCGAAGTACCTGCACAGACCAAAGAAAAGATCTAATGTGAGCAACCAGGCAAAGCCTAAGCTAGGATGCATTGCACAACATCACTTTTCCAGCCCACAGAGCAGGGTGCAGTGACTAGAGTCGTCAGGACTAGACCGACATGGTCCAGCCGTCCAGCTCATGAGCCATCTGGCAGAAAATGTGACATCACTGCATGTGCTCTTTGCGAGGCAGCACAATCGGGTCAGGCTCAGAGTTGTAGGGGTTTAGGGTGTAGGAGTTTGGGGGTTTAGGGGTTTAGGGGGTTAGTGGTTTAGGGCCTTTAGGGTATAGGGTTTTTGGTTCATGTGTAGCTACTCTGCAGTCCACTGGAAACCAGTAACCACTGCTGGCAAGCTCTGGGTACAATTAATCTTTAGGGCTTATGTAGTTACATCTTGATAAGGTGCAAGCTTCCAGGTTTTAATATGAGAGGGTTTATGCTTCAGCAGGTATGCAGCTTAGCACACACACATACAGGGTCATTCAGAGTGACATCGGCGTAATCACTCATCTTCAAAAAAGAAGCGGTCACACGTGACCCTCAGCAGCATCCCTTGCATGAACTGCAAGGCGCATGGATACCTTGGTGCATGAGTGCTCTTGTGCAGAGCCTTCTACAAGCTACAACGTAACGTGTTGTCCAGGGTATATTTAGATATGAGGGAAGAGCCACTTGCAGATGAGATTCCTTAAGAGGGGAAATCCAGCCAGCCATTGCCCTGGCCACATCCCACCTGAGCAACATGTTCATTCGCAAATGTACTCAACTATCATGGCTTCCCAAACGACTCATAAAGAATAATGCAGCCAGCCCGCGCAATCTTCACTGTCGGGAACGTGTTAAAGCCAACGGTTGCACCGCTCTTGTTGTCCGGCTTCTGCAGCACAGGATTCGGACTTGAGCAACCCATAGTGACTGTGCTCTGTCCTTTCAATGCAACCAAAGCACCCCAATAAAATCCTCGAGGCCATCAGGGATTCGTGCTTTCGAAACGTAGAATAAATTTCGCCCTGCCACAACCTGGATCGAACCGGTCTCCTCAGGATTGGTCGCACCTTTTGCCCCTGCTTTGGGACCATAGAGTGTCCAGGACTGCCTGTCAAAGTCCTCCTCAGGAAAGCTGAGGCCTTCCAAACCAAGCCTTTGCAGCATAGCGATGTTAGCAACAGCCAGCTCTTTGCGGGCTTGCTGCTCCGCGCGCTTTTTGGCTGACCTAGTTAGGAAGGATTTCTTTCGCTTGTTGGGGGTGGCCCCATCACCGAGCTGCTTTGTTTTGACTGGGCTCTCGTATGCCTGCTTGCTCTGCTCTCTCCCGGGTTTGCTGCTGGAAGCTTTTGGCTTCGAGTTCAGGCTCATTGCTGGCTTGGACTGGCCCTTGATCCCGGCTGTGGCCTTGGTCACGGCACTTGCCGTGGCCTTGGCCTTAGCCTTGGATTTGGATGTGGCTTTCTGGTTGCCCGTTTCTGCCTTGTCAGGAACAACAGTCTCCACCTGCTTCTTGCCCCGCCCTCTGCCAGAAACAACAGTCTCCACCTTCTTCTTGCCCTGTCCTCTGCCCTGCCCTCTGCCTCGCCCTCGGCCACCACGGCCACGAGACCTACCACGTCCCTGGGACAGATGCTCAGGATCACCATTCTTTTGCGCACGCTGCTGCATCTTGCCAACAGCTTTGACCAAATCTGCCTTTGATGCATGAGCATTTCGAACCGACCTATAGCAATGCGTATCGCAAATCCATATACAGGCACTGGCACTCTTCACACCCGCACACACACACACTTTCGGACTGAACTTGGTGCTACATGATTTCCAGACATGTGGCATCAGCAAGCTGCTGCCGAACAGCCTTCTGCTCGGAGATGAGGCTCAACGGGGGAGCAGGGACTCCCTTGGCACCTTCTGCAGCACCTTTCTGAATCCACTTGGGAAAGCTCGGTAGCCCCAGCACAGCATCGTCAGGAATCAAATTGGCTCGTCGTTGGGGTGCGCAAAGTAGGGAACCCGGAAGATCAGCAATCGGAATTCGGTCAGGCATGATCTCGGATGCCTTCGCTTACACATGCAGGCACGAACCCATTCATGACCACCTGAATCTTAACTTGCAGCCTAGACTCTGGCATGCGGTCCTTCTCTGCATCCCTTTCTGCGGTCGAAGGGCCAGGCGACTTCCCCACATCCGGAGTCCCCCAACAATCCCCTGAATTTGGGAGCACGACATTGAATGGAACGGTGGGGGGGGTGGCACCAGGTGCAGGGCTCGAGGACACACCAGGCTTCACAGGTGTAGGGAGCACAACTTCGAATGGAACAGTGGGGGGTGTGGAACCCGCACAAGAGCCAGCATCCCCTGGGCTCGAACCCCCACGGAACTTCATGGGCGTGACAGCGGGACCAACTTCCACTGAGCTTGGGTCCATACACAACTTGACAGGCATCAGCTCAGGGATCCTATTGTTGTCCGGGACAGTCGGGGGTGTGGAACCAGCTGCAAAGGCACCAGCTGCACCTAGGCTTGTCGCCGCGCTTGCCTTGATGGGTGTAGCCACGGCCTCGACAAAGGAATGCACTAGCACATTCACACACCAGCTCAATATCTCCACTCGTGTGCACTTGGCATGTCAAAACTCTTTTGTTTCTGCATCCAGAGCCTCATCAAACAGAGGCCCAAGATCTCGAGACAGCTTAGTTTCTGTTTCACCTTGCGACTCCATCTCATCAATCGTTCCACGCAGCTGAGACTGCACCAACTCCTGGATTGGGCTTGTATATTCCCATGCCAGATGACATCTACATGTAGGTTTTCCTATCTAAAGTCCTGCTCCGGGGTCTTCTCAGCAAGGCCCTGAATGAAGCGAGCCGGTGTCAGCAGCCTGTCCGAATCAATGAGCTTCGGGGGGCTCGCCTCCTGCAGTTGCAGGTCTCCCATCCTGAAACACTATTCGTTACAACCCTCAATCCTAACACCTCCGGCCCTGCACCCTAAACCATATATCCTTATTTCAATATTCTCAGAAGCTTACACACAAAGGCTGCTAAGGATTAAAACCTATAGTCCTCGGCACTGTCACACTCCAAGTCCTCCGGGAATTCCCAGAGACCACGGTTCACCATATCAACATCATCCTCAGCTCGGGGTTCTTCAGACTCCTGGTGGACTGCAGCTGGGACATCCTGGGCTGTGGGCTATGGAGACTTAGGGCTTTAAAATTTAAGGTTTGAGGCCTAGGCTTCTTGTGGTCCGGGGCCTGAGGCTTGGTTGCTTCAAAGCTCAGGGAGAGGGTTGGGGAAATGTGTGGCAACAACACTTAGAAGCCCGCAGCAATAGCCTTTTCTAGCATGGGCTTTGTCAGCATTAGGTGTTATCTGTGTTGTTGTGATCGTCCTGGGCTTCAGGCTTATGTCCTAATTACACAGGAGTTGAACGGATGCACTATTTTATCCAGGTGTCAGCCCGCTTGGCTGCATAGACTTGTCTCTTCATTGCCAAAATCCTTTTAAGAACCAACATACGTGGTGAGCGGGAGCGCATAGTCCTCTTCTCCGAGTGGATGACATATGCAGTCAAGGCTTTCAGGAGAGCCGCCTCATTCTCAGCCCACCCCCTGATTTTGCCTTTGCCACCTTTCACCGCAAAGTCTGCCCCCGGGAACAGGCACACCGCCAACAGGCCAAAGGCAGCCTCAAATGCAACAAACGTACTACCTCTCTACCACAGTCATCACCGCACTCAGTGACTCACGTGTCTGTCTTGCTTAGTGTTTTTGCAACGTTTCTCCCTCCAACTCCCTCCCTCTCCTCTCCTCTCCCTCTTCTCTCTCTCTCTCTCTCTCTCCCTCTCTCTCTCTCTCTCTCACTCTCTTTTCCTTTCTCACTATGCAAACTTGCAGCCAAAGTACCTGGAAGTCTGCTAGAGCTGGTGTTGCCTCCCCCCCTAGTTCGATAAACCACTCCTTCACCAAGTCGTAGTTCGCGCCGATGAGGTCGTCCTGGTGAACCTTATCTTGTTCCATGAAACAGTTTAAGGAACACCAGGAAGACCTCATCGGCGTGAACCATGACGATGAATGCAAGAATACCTTAATGAGCAATCTCCAGCCAGCAAGGAATCAATACCGATCCCAGGGAAACTGCAATCAAGCAGCAACATTCTGTCCGGAATTCCATGTCACCACTACCCTGTCCTGGGCACGAACAAATGCTGGGACAGATATGATTTTCGAATTCTTGTCACAAACAAAAATATGCATCAGATAAGCCTGTCAAGTATCGGGGTCTGACATGATGTGGGGCATCAACTTCGTCTGCACAAACCGATTCACAACGTGATAAATGCGCTCTGCAATCACCTCATCCAGCAGGATCAAACAAAGCAAAACTCATATTGCTTGTTGCTGGTACTTCACTTGCAAGCCGTTGAAGCAAGTCAGGATGCATTCACATGGAGGCGAAAGGGCTCATACAGATGCTTAACCCCATTGGCATCAGGCTCCGAAAGAAAAGCCATGGCTTCGGCTTCCCATACGAAGCTAGAATCCTGACTTGGAGCTCGAGGCAAAACTTGCATCACAGCACTCTTTGTGTGCATGCCCTCATCCACATCAACAGATGCTGCAAGCCTCTATATCAATAGGAACATACACTTATGCTTGCAGATGCACAGGCTTCAGCTGATCAGAGCATTCCAGCAAACATGCAGTGGGCGCACCCGTCCGCTGGCGCAGCGGACGAAAAAAAGGACGAAGGAGTCCCATTGCGGTAGCACAAAACAAAGACTGACCTGGAGATATCTACGATCCCAGAAACTCTTTGCTGCAAGCCACCTGAAGCCTTCATTGCAGTGTTGATCCTGAAACTTCCGACGATTCATCATCTGTTCAAACCTTTGCCAGTCTGGAGAACTCGGGCCAGCACCGCAGAACGCCCTCTGCACGGACTTACCCACATCAACCCCAAGTACTCCTATATGGAGCACTTTCCAAAGTAGTGCCCCTGGGATCACTTGGACCCTCTGGGAAAGCGAGGGAGAGGGCGCTGAAGCTTGAACAACAAAATGCACATCAACTGTCTTGTCGCAGCAACGCTGATACCAGCAGACCAAGTCGGATACAGACCCTCATGCTGGAAACGACAGCTCAGTCAGCCTCAATCAGCTCTGCGAAAGACAGGTTGCCTGCGCCGAGAAGAAGAGAGGACCCAGAGAGGAGGCCACTGCCACTGCCAGAGCCTCGGCACACAAAACGCTGATATAAAGTTTACGAGGTCGCATGGACGAGGGCGAACTATTCATCTGCCTCTTGCTCAAGCACTTGAACTGAACTGACCCTGAGATCTGAGTGCACATCTTCATCTTCATCGCTGCCTCAGCTTCAACGGCCTGCGCAGGTTTAACATGGAAACAATAGCTCAATCGGCTCAATCAATCAGCTCAGCGAAACAGAGGTTGCCTGCGCCGAGAAGAAGCGAGGACCCAGAGAGGAGGCCACGGCCTCAGCACAGGAAACGCTGACGTGAAGTTTACGAGGTCGCATGGACGAGGGCGAACTATTCAGCTGCTTCTGGCTCGAGCAATTGAACCGAACTGACCCTATATCCCATGATCCCATATCTGAGATCTGAGTGCACATCTTCGTCGCTGCCCCAGCTTCAACGGCCTTCGCAGGTTTAGAAGTGATGAAAGACGCGCGAGTGTCAAAGGGGCATTAGAAACTAGAAGCCCTGCTGTTTCTGGGGAAAGCTACACGGGGCAATCACGGCAAGCTGTTGCCACCAGTAGAAAAGAAAGAAAAACAGCCTAGGCACGAAGGTCTAAACATCGCTCTGAATGATTTCAAAGACCCCAGTAAGCTACTTCTATGGCCTTCTTGGGTTTCGTGGCAACTTATTCCGAATCTAGAATGCAGTGCAAAGTAGGAAGGGAACTGTTACTCAACACCCAACAACTCGCTATTTCCCCAATACCTCCGTATTCATATTTGTACTTATACATGAATGTCTATACTCTGGTGACTGGCATGAAAGCACACACCGGGGCTTCGGTCCTCTTTTTCCTTTGCAGTGCTCAATGGTGCATCAAGGTCGGGCAACAAAAAGCTGCTGTGCTGTTGCCGTATTCCAGGTCGAGCAACGACCATTTGCAATAACAGCTCTTACAGACCAGGCCGAGGACGAAGTCCAGGACGAAGTCCATCTCGAGCTAATTAAGAGCTTGAGCTGCTTGAGCTTGGTGTACGCACCACGACCCAGTCTGAGTCTTCACTTTCCGTCTCTGGGTCCCGGTGCGTCTGCGTCACTTCCTCGACTCGGGTCTCAGTCTCGACTGCTCGCTGCGGAGGACCTTCATTTGGGACTTCATGGCGTCGTGCCCCTGCCTCAAGTCGCCACTGCGGGCATCGTACCAGCGTCACGCTCGAAGACCAGGGCGAAGACAAAGTCCATCTCGAGAGCACCTCCTCCGTGATGTCTTCGCAGAAAAAGCCACCAACGAAGAGCATGGACCGCTGATCCTGTCCTTGCACGGAGTGGAAGGTCAGCATGCAGTGGTCCCAGCTCCCGCCTACAGCCCGCCAATTTGGCGTGAACTGCAGGTCGTGATGGCGAATCCCTGGCGAAGACGAACAAGCGAAGTCGGTGAAGTGGAGGCAGCCACGATTGTAGCTCCACCTCCCCTGCGACCCGAAGGCGACTCGACGAGTGCGTGTCAGCCTCTTGAAGTAGATCCATCCCTCACGGTTGGGCATGCCTCCGTCGTGGTCCAAAAAGCACCACTCGTCCCAACGCTCACTGTCGTGATGGATCCACTTGAAGACCGAGAGCCTGTGCAGCGATGGGCGAGGCACGAAGTCCATGGCGAAGGCCAAGGCAAAGGCAAAGACAACTGCTGCAGCTCGCGAGTGCGATTTCGAGGGCAACGACTGCGGTCGAGTCACCAAGTCAACTATGACTCTTTTGGGAACATTGGGCTACGCGTTACTTGTTGCTCTGCGGGAGGTCTCGCGTTTGAAAGTTTCAGGTGTTTCTACGCAAAATACAGGTGGCAACTGGTTGCCACCTGTATTTTTCCTTTCAGGATGCAACCGAAACAGGGAACTCCACAACTGTCCACAACTCGCTATTTCTAACTTCTGAACTACCGCATCCTTTTCTTTGGGAAACCCAGCACGTTCATTGTTGCACTATGAGGGAGGGTGTCTCGGGTCCGAGAGTTTCAGGTGCTTATACGAAACAATACAGGTGGCAACCAGTTGCCACATGCATTTTTCCTATAGAATGCAACCGTAGCCGGGAAGTTGCCGAACTGGAACTACGTCTTTCTTTCTTTGAGAAACCCAGCAGGTTAGATTAATTGTTGTTAGTTGTTGCACTGCACGAAGAGTCTTGGGTCCGAAAGTTTCAAAGTTTCGTGTGCTTATACAGAAAAATACACGTGGCAAATGGTTGCCACCTATATTTTTCTGTATTGAATGCAACCGAAGCCGGGAAGTTGCTGAACTTGAACTACATCTTTCTCTTCTTTGGGAAACCCAGCAGGTTTGCTTAATTGTTGTTGCACTGTACGAAGAGTCTTGGGTCCAAAAGTATCACGTGTTTATACGAAAGAATACAGGTGGCAACCAGTTGCCACGTGTATTTTTTCGTATAGAATGCAACCGAAGCCGGGAAGTTGCTGAACTTGAACTACGTCTTTCTCTTCTTTGGGAAACCCAGCAGGCTAGGTTAATTGTTGTTGCGCTGTACGAAGAGTCTTGGGTCCAAAAGTATCAGGTGTTTATACGAAAAAATACAGGTGGCAACCAGTTGCCACCTGTATTTTCACGTATAGAATCCAATCGAAGCACGGAACACAACAACTCGCTGGTACAGAGAGCAACTAATCAACGTTTTCAGTCTCATACGTCCTTTTCAACCTGAAAGAGTACTCTGACATTTGCAAACCCGGCCTTTTCGGCCGTGGTCAGCTCGTCATCTTCTGGGTGCCGCCTGTCGAAGTCCAAAAGAGGGGCGGCTAGGATGCAACACGAAGGTACACTAGACCCACCCACCAATCCCACTAAAACTAACCTCATAGCCTTAAAGGCTTAGGGGTGATCTTCTCCAAGTCAAGGGCCGCTAGGGCTAGGACAACAAACCCTTAAACTAGGGCTTGGGCTTAGGGCTTAGGGCCTTGCCTGCTCTCAGCCAATGCCTTGCCCTGGGTGCCTGGGTGCAGGGGCCGCCAGTCCAGGGAGGCTTGCCGGAACGTTGTTCCAGGCGTCCACTTGGGCCAGCAGTCGAGCCACGGGAAGGTGCCCGTGCTCCGCGGCCAGGTGCAAAGGCGTCATTTCGGCCATGTCTTTGACGAGGACGATGCCCCGCTGGGAATCGGGGGGTCTTCCAGTGCCGATTCCGCTCAGTCCAGACTCTGATGGACATTTTCCACCATGAGAACTGGTCCTCCCACTGCGGCTTGCAGATGACATCTGCGGGCGGCTTGCATCGCCGTTGTTCCTGGGCTGGGCTGGCATCTGTTTGTTGTCAAGGCTGAGAGTTGCGGCGTCTCCTGCTCTTCAACGCAAGCGGCTACGTTAGCTTGGCTTCAAAGTTTGCTTGACTGCGAACGCAAGGCCCTCTGCGGCTTTGGCTCGAGGCAGGACAGGGGTGTGAGTTGGAGCTACATCAGCCAGTAGTAGGCTGCTGCTTCTATTTCAGGCCTGGAAGTCTTCTTCGGGTGCAGCTTTGGGCTCGAGGACGAAGTCGAAAAAAAGGCAGTTCTGGCCCAGGCCACCATGTGGCACATGAGCCAGAAAAGCCTGGGGCTCTGGCCTCACAGGCTCATATAGTTTCTGTGTCCTTGGAAGAACAGAGAAACTGTTTTAGTGTAGGGTCCAGGTTTAGGGACTTACTTTGAAAAGCTCTTTTAGTGTAGGGTCCCGGGTTTAGGGGACTCACCTTAAACGCCACATTATCATTTTAAACCGTGTAGCCTGTAGCCTTTAGCAGCAACCAGTGCACAGTGCAAGCATTACCCAACCATCAGACGATGAGCTAATTACCATGCCCTTGGGGACCATCTGCCCCTCCCTGAGTTTTATCGGGTTTAGGGTAGTAGTAGTCGTCGTCGTCGTCGTAGTAGTACTAGTACTAGCTTTGGGCTCGAGGACGAAGTCGAAAAAAAGGCAAGTCTGGTAGTAGTAGAAGTAGTAGTAGTGGTAGTAGAGTAGTAGTAGTAGTAGTAGTAGTAGTAGTAGTAGTAGTAGTAGTAGTAGTAGTAGTAGTAGTAGTAGTAGTAGTAGTAGTAGTAGTAGTAGTAGTAGTAGTAGTAGTAGTAGTAGTAGTAGTAGTAGTAGTAGTAGTAGTAGTAGTAGTAGTAGTAGTAGTAGTAATTGTACAACTGCAAATCACTATATATGAAAAACACACCATGCGCAAGCAACACAAGCCAAGGTCAGTCAACACAGCCATGTCACAAGAACGAGCGGCCTCCCTTCCTTGTTCGGACTGGCTGGAGTCTGGCCTGGCCGAACCAGCAAAACCAGTTTTGCCCCAGCACGGCGCATTAGCCCATATGCCCGGCTGTCATCTACCCCCTCCCCTGGGGTAGGTTGGCCTCAAGGCAAAGCCGAACGCCTCCCACCCGGCCAATGGTGTGGGGAGCAACCCAGATGATGGGGCAGGGGACGGTTGACTCCCCAGGTAAGGCAACCAAGACGAAGGCCACTCAAGCAGAGCAATCATGAATCATGACAATCAAGTGGCCTCCCAATGCCTCCCAGGATCCGGTACTGACGACTAGTCTGCCTACCCACGCCCCCGCAGGCGCATTAGCGCATCGCCCTGCGACAGCCCGGCGCAAGGCTGTTTGGCCCTGGGGCGTGGGTTGCAGGACATTCCGAGCCAGACTCAGACCGCATTCCCTTAGCCTGTGCCCCACACCCGGCCAGCGGTGTGAACGCCCTCTGTTACTGAAGCGCCAAGAGGACGTTTTGGTAGAGCAAGAAAGCATTCAATCAAGTCAAGCAAGAATGGATCACAGAAGCTCCTGTTGCCTAGTAGTAGTAGTAGTAGTCGTCGTATCAATAGCTTTGGGCTCGAGGACGAAGTCGGAAAAAATGTAATTCTGGTAGTAGTAGTAGTAGTAGCAGTAGTAGCAGTAGTAGTAGTAGTAGTAGTAGTAGTAGTAGTAGTGGTGGTAGCTTTGGGCTCGAGGACGAAGTCGAAGAAAGGCAATTCTGGCCCAAGCCACCATGTGGCACATGAGCCAGAGAAGCCTGGGGCTCTGGCCTCACAGGCTCATATAGTTTCTCTGAGTTTCTGTGTCCTTGGAAGAACAGAGAAACTGTTTTAGTGCAGGGTCCAGGGATTAGGCACTCACCTTAAACGCCACATTATCATTTTAAACCGTGTAGCCTGTAGCCTTTAGCAGCAACCAGTGCACAGTGCAAGCATTACCCAACCATCAGACGATGAGCTAATTACCATTAAACTAAATTCCACTTTTGTTGGGAAACCCAACATCAATGTGCGTGCCCTTGGGGACCATGTGCCCCTCCCTCAGTCCCATCGGGTTTGGGGTAGTAGTAGTCGTCGTCGTCGTCGTAGTAGTAGTAGTAGTAGTTAGTAGTAGTAGCTAGTAGCACAAGTAGCACGCTGGCAACCACGCTCAACAACATGTAACTGTCGCATACCGATGCCCTTTCGGAACGGAAGATCGGCAAGTGGAGGATGGGGGAGCACTCCTCGAACCCATTATCGGGTTCGGATCATCGAGTCCCGACCACAAGCCCGATCCACCACCAGGGTGGTAGTTTAAGGAGACCAAGTTAACTCCCCCTGGCAGTCTCGGCTGCGCTGCGCATTGCGCTTCTTGTGCCCATGTATCATGCAGGGGGTCGGTCTTCTGACATCCCAGGACACCCATGACATCAGGGTGGCCTGCTCCCGCATGGGCAATCATCACACATGCATGCTAGCAGTAGCATCAGCATCAGTAGTAGTATTAGTTAGTTTTGCATTAATAGGTTTAGGGTTTCGAGTTTAGGTTTAGGGTACAGGGTATCTCCGAAAATGCAGAAAGCCCTCAAACCCTGCAAACAGTGCACAGGAGCCTCGCCAGCCTCGCTGGAACTTTGGATCCATGGCCTGGGCGAACACATCGTGGAAAAACTGCTGGGGTTGAAGTTTAAGTTCGCAGATCTGATCGGCAGAGTCTGGGTTCCAACAGGTTTGGGGAAGCTGCTACCACCCACATTTTTTCGTATTGAATACCACTACAGTGCGATGTGTGCTAAACAGGCCTTCTGGTGCCTCAAGGTTTGTGCTGTTTCCAACGACAGCAACAGGTGGCAACTAGTTGCTACCTGTTTTTTCTCGTATAATCCACTCGTCCTAGGAACCCTAATCTCAAGGCCAGTCCTGCACACCCTGAATTTCCCTGAATCATAGTGATGCAAGAAGCTAACTACACTACATCAGACTTCAGGTCAGGTTGCTAACCCCTACCCAAAATCCCAAAAAAACACATGGGTCATGGGTTCAGGGAATACCGCGTTCTCAATAGTTGTGGCAGAGGGAGAAAAGGCTGAAGCAAGCGATCTTTCAGTGGCCAAGCAAGAAGCCGCGCTCATTGTCCACAGAGTTCAAACAATTCACCCAGAGACACTCCTTGGGAAGAGTGTCCTTGGGTCTGAGGCCATGGAGCTTCAGAAGCCGAGGACGAAGGTTTTCAAATATGCTATCCTCTGTCATACGGTTAGACATGGCCGCCGCCGTGACAATGAGCGCAATCAAGGACGCAGGCGTCAAAACTGGCATCTCATATTCCCTCGCAGACGAAGACGAGGAAGATGCTAGTCCGTCTATAAAAGAGTGAGCACAGGCCATGATGGAATGAAGCTCTCCGAGGCTGACGCTGCTGACATTGGATCTGATGTGGTTGAACTCGGCCAGCAAAGCTTCGGAATAGTCTTGCACCCGCGCAGCCCGTGCAGTCGGAGAAATGGATGTGGAAGTCTGTGGCAGGTTCTTTGCAGAGCACACTTTCCCCTTCTGCTTCAACCTTTCGATGGTAGTTTTCTGCCTCAAACGTACGATGGAGACATGCTTGTTCTCCAGACCTTTTTTGCTAACTCGACAGTTCAGACACATCCGATCTCGGCAGTACGTACGTCCATGGCAACGTTTGCATCGCCACGGCATGGCGAGTCCAGGCTTTGTACAGTTAATGTAAGGACAAGGAGTCACAAGGAGTCTATGCTTGATTGACAGAATCGCCTTCAGATCCCGCTGATACTTATGTCATATGTCTCTCTCTCTCTCTCTCTCTCTCTCTCTCTCTCTCCTCTCTCTCCCTCTATCACTAATATGCAGGAAAGTCCAGGTTCTAGCCAGTTCTAGCGTTCGAAGTTGATAAACGTTTCTTCTACAGGAACTAGCATAACTTCGAGTTTCCAGTCTCGGGCAATTCGTAATTTCAAGGAGGACGACGGCGAAACGGCTTGAGCCCAAGCCTGCAAGTCTTCTGGCTGCAAGTTAACATGGCAAAAGGCTCAAAGACCCGGCCCAGCTGTGAGCAGTGACCATGAAGATGAGGCTCCAGCATGGATGTCGCATCCGAAGACGAGCACGAGTGCGACGACAAGCTCCAACCTCAGCATGTCATGATACGAGCCAGGGGGACAGAACATGTAGCAACGCATGAATCTGCATGAATGCATGATAATGATATCCAATCAGAGGCTAAGACTGCAAGCAGTGGTTCGAAGCTGCAGTTCAGGGTCGCGGTCGGATCAGGCCTGCTCATACTCTGGTGCCACAAAGCAGCTAAGCATCGGGCTCCACGCTCCAAGTCACGAGGACGAAGGACCTGCCATTTTCAGTCTTTTCATTCGTTACATCTCCTAAGGACAGGCACAGGCCAAACTGTGGCACCTTCAAGTCTTCAAGAGTCTTGAAGACTTGAAGTCCAAGCTCGGATCAGGGCCGGTAACACCTGACAATTCACAACATCATACTGCCACAGAAGAGGTAAGGATCGGGCTCCGTTCTGGAAACCTCAACGATAATGATGAAGGACCTGGCAATCGCAATGTCACAGGAGTTACATTTTGCATGAATGCATGCCGCAGTCAGTCAGCACGGCTTCACACTCAGGAACCTTGTTTCCTTAAGCAGCACGCAAGAATTGAAACGGGTCCATTTTCAGTGGAATGGCCCAAAGACTAGGACAGCGAAGGCCAAGGACGTCCATCGAAGACGAAGGCGATCACTGCAAAGCACCCCGGCAGACGCCGAGTCTTCCAATCGGGACCCCCAGAAAGGACAGAAGCAGAATTCGGAGCAGGATATCCCTGTCACTACAAGGCCGTGATTTCATAAACTTCTGGAACTGAATCTCATGGGTAAATAAATTATCCTTGCCTTTTCATGCAGTGCCCCTACTGGAAGCTGCTGAGACGGCGCGCGTCATAGTAGGCATAGTTCCGCTTGTCGGCTTCATTTCGTCGAGATGCAGGAGATGACGGCCGAGAACGATGGTGCTGGTCGGAGCCCTGCGCAAAAGAGCTGGGAAATCCCCATCTTCGAAAATGGAACTGAGCGAAAATAAACTTACCGACTGATGCAGAGGAGGAGCGCGACCGCGCCCAGCAGCCGACCCCGCCTTACGGCCTGTGCCTGGGACTGAGGTGGGCATGCCAAGGACCTATGCTCCATTGAGGCACAAAAGCAGACAACTTGCAAAGCCGAGTTGCCTTCGTCCATTTGGTTCCAGCGTTTGCGGCAGTGGTCGTTCGCGATCGCAGACGGATTTCTCCAGGGATTGTGGCAGCGTTCGTCGGAAAGTTGACTGCGCGCACTCTTCCTAGGTTCCATTGACATTGACAGTAGTCCCTTAAGGGTATCCCAGTCTACTGTTCGAGTGTAACAGTTTCCTAGTTCGTAGTTCGTTCTAGACAGGAACCAAGCTTCACGAAGGCCAAGCCATGTTGTAGGCCTTCGGGCCCTGAACCGATCAGGGCCGCGAAGTTCAACCAGGCCGCATCGTCTACCTTGAGCTCGCGAAGGACTCTGAAGAGACTGGGTGCCTTCTCGAAGACGTCGCCACAGACCTGAGAAATTGCTACTTCAGTCAGGTTGCCGCAACCCCAGTCCCCAAGCCTATAATCCGTCCCCTGCCTTCGCCATTTCAGCGTCCTCGCCAGCGCCCCGATTGCCAGAGCCAGGGATATAAGGGCTCGACCAAGACGAAGACGCAAACTCGGGCTCAGGCCTAGGTTCCTCCGCCGGTTCCGCTGCTTCGGGTTCGGGTGCAGCCTCCGGCGGAGGCGGGCTAGGCGGGCCGGGAGGAACCAGCTTGAAGTGCGTGATGAGCTCCGCCTGTTTCAGGCTCAGCCCCCTGACAATCCACTCCCTCACATCCTTGTTGTAGTCCTCGGCTGAAGGTTTGGGGCTGCATCGCAAAACCCCCTACAGCCAGCAGAGAGAAAATCTTAACCTTTACCAGGAATGCCATCTGGGAACGTTGATGTGCCAGCGCACAGGATCATCCGACAAGTCGTCGTACGAGGGCGTGAAGAGGTAGCTGTTGAAGGCGAAGGCGAGGGCCATGGCAATGGCAACGCTACGGTACTTGCCATCCGAACCTCAACAAAGCAGGCTGGGGATTAAGGCATGTTGATATGGGATTAAAGGAAGCTTAAAGTGATGAAACAATAAACATGACATAACTGGCAATCTGCCAGCAGCTGAGTGGCTTATGATGTGTATGCAGGTCTTGGAGTCCGGGCTTCCCAACTTGGCCGGCACCTCCAGGCCCAGGCAGGCGGCGAACACCCAGCCGACTGCCCCCCTGCCGTAGCGAGAATCCAATACTTCCCTCATCCACTTGGGGCTGCCGAACCTGGTCGCACCTGAGGACTCAGGATGCTTGTCATTTCAAGGTTTAGGGCTAAATTCCAGTCGCGCATGCAGTCGAGGAGCTGATTACACTGCTGGCGCGCTGCCACGGATACATCTCCGTGATATCAATCATCAAGTGATTGTGGTCTGCAAACTTTTTCTTCTGCAAATACCACGGCATGATCATGTCACCTTTGCCAACTGCACCTGAGGGCAGCTTAACAGTAAAAACTTTTGAATTACTGCAGAAGCTTTCTAGTCATTAGTTCTACACACTCAGGGCCCAGGGCCACCCGCCTGTAGGCGTCCTGTATTCCCAGTCCTTTCCCCATGCCACGAAACACAGCTTTCCACCAAAGTCGCGAGGGATGCGCAGGGGTCCGGTGTCCGCTGGCTCCGGCATTGAATTGAAGCAATGCTTGTATACGCGAAGCTGAGGATCAAGACCACATCCAGTTGTTGTTGATATGAGGCCTTCTCCACTTCAGAATATAACAGTTTGTGCGAGCTGCCACAAGTTCTTTAAGAGGACTGGCTGGGTCACGTGTGCTGTGCAGCAAAACCGAATCGGTCTGAACCCGGACTGAGGCATGCAAGCAAGTTTCCTACAGTTTCCCACATGACATGCCTTCGGCGCTTCCTTGCAAGCTGGTTACTGAATCAGACCGAAAAAGAAGCACACGTCAGCGTGACCTGTGAGGCCGAAGTCGTTCTCCGGGGCCCGGGACTGCGTGAGCCTCTCACAGTCACAAGTCGCAGGTGCCACAATGGAATCCATCGACGAGTCTGGCCGCATAGCTTCTGCAAAGTGAGTCGTTCCCTGGGCTCCTGGCATTGTCCACTGCTGACTAGACCTGTCACGAACGGCTTCAGTTGCAGGTATCGATTCGGCAGGACGCAGAACACAGACAAAGACTGAGCACGCCAAGAAATCTTTTCACGGTTCGCATCAATTTGAGTGGCAGCTATCACACACCAGCCTTGTCCTTTTTCATGGTTCCCCCAAAGGAATAAACAGACCGGCTAGTAGACCTTCTTCAATTCTTCAATATTTCCTAAAAAGGGATGTAAGTATGGGGCTGAGGCTCTTTCAGTCTGTTGTTTCTAAAAGGACAAGGGTGTCAGCCACGGGATCGGCTGCGCTCTGAGTGGCAGCTATCATACACCAGCCTTGTCCTTTTTCATGGTTCTTTTGGACCGGCTAGTAGACCTTCTTCAATATTTCCTACTTAGGGATATAGGTATGGGGGCTCTGTCTATTGTCTATTGTGTCTTAAAGGACAAGGGCGTGGTCGTGGTGTCACCGACGGGATCGGCTGCGCTCCGAGCGACTTCGGCGCCGTCGGAATACAGGCCTCCCAAAAGGAGGCTCCGGGCTGCTGCTGTCATTCCGAAGGCGACGAGGCTCGTTACGAAATCGAGCAGGCGCCGGGCTGGTGGTGCGACGAGGGCGAGGCTCCTCACGATCGTGGCCGCGAGCACGACGACGAGGGCCAGGGCGAAGGCCAGCATCTGGCAGGGAATCAGTGCCAACCCAGGGCCCCAAGAAAAAGGATGAAAGCAGAAATTAGGATAGGGATATGCCATGTTAACCTAACCAAACCCCCTTACGTTACATGCGGGTCCAAGAAGGTAACGTAAACGTAGAATGCTTTATGCTTATGTCCTTATTCGGGTCCCTGGCCACCTGCCTGAGCCATCCACAGCTTGCCACCGGTCCCGGACCCAGTGGCAAGCGTAGGCGCTCATGTTCTGCAGCCAGTGCTCCCCATGGCTTTCGAACTGGCGGCGCTGCATCTGGGCCAAGGCGACCGGGACGAAGGCGGAGGCCTCCTGAAGAAGTCGCCCACCTGCCGAAACCAAACTTGAGAAGGCCAACCACGTCTCGTCGTCCACGCAAATTTTTCGCAAAGTTGTGAACAACTCTGGCGACTTCGCGAAGATCTCGTGGCAAGCCTCAGATTGAAAGTAGGTTGTGAATTGTGATTATCTGTTAAAAAAAGAGGGGGGCAAACTGTTTCCACCCGGCCTGCTCCATCTCCCAGTCCTCGTCCCAGCTTCGAGGCTCGCGACCCTCAAGAGGTTCCACGTAGGGACATCGCCACCAGGCTCCCTCCTGAGGCGACTGCGATCTCGAAGCCGAAGACGGAGCTGCCAAGGCCAGCCTTCTGGGTCGCGCCTTCTGCTTCGGCCTGGGCTTCGCGACCGCCTTCGCCGCCGCCTTCGGCATCGGCGCATAGTGTTGGACGATTTCGTGCTGCTGGAGCACGGAGGTCACCCACGAAGTGAAGGACTCTCGCAGTGAGTCCTCAGGGGCACAAGCTTCAAGCAGCACCACAACCGATACCTTCCCTGCCAGCTTATTCTACTACTGGATGACTGGATGGCCGGCCTCCACAATCTGCCACTGCATCTCCCTCGCTGCAGCGCCCTGGTACGTGGGCAAGAAGACTTTTGCGCCGAAGACGAAGGCCAAGACCAATGCCAACGACGCGCTTCTGTGCTTCCCCCGTGAGCCTGAGCTGTCGTTTGAACAGATAGGCTTAGGCTATTAGGCAGCCTAGGCAATGTCAAGAAAAGCAGTGTGCCACAATGCAAACCAGGGGTCACATCACATGAAGGCAAAGGCGATATCCGTCGCTGTAAACGACAGATTCCAAAGCTGCCAGAAGCGAGTACAACCAACGCAGCGTTCTCTTGCCCAGGTTGTTGTCGATGAGCCCGCGCACCCACTGCGGCGATAACACACCTCCCTCACCTGAGAGGAGATCAAACTTGAGGCAGAGCCAAGTGCCAAGAATTGCGAGGTGGCTGACCGACCGACCAATTGACTAGACTCTCAACTCTGAATTCAGCGATGTCACGTGGAGCGGGGTTGCGCGCAGGGTCCGCAGGCCAAAGACCATTGGCACGCACGTCGACCCTGAAGTGGCAGTATTGCTGGTACCGGTCGCTCAGGTACTGCGCCATGACGTGCTTCCCAGGGCCAGCGCTGCCTCAGCATACCGAGTAAAATTTCAGGACCCTGGACTTGAAACCCACTTACTTGCCTCAGTTGCGGTCAAGGAACCATCCGGCAGATTGTACGTGAACTCCACTCCCCACGCTACAACCACGAGGTCGGACCACTGTCGTGGCCGAGGTATGTCCAACCGCGAAAGCGACATGGAAGGCGAAAAACGAAGGCGAAGGCGAAGTACCTCCTCCTCTCGAGCCAAATAATTGCAGAATTGCAGCGGTTACTGTGCAGGTCAAGCTAAAGCACGGAAGCATGCATCTCACTCAGAGTCTCACTCTAACAAGGACGGCACAACACAGCAACCAGTCAGGCCGACCTTGACGCCCAAAAGGCGCTGAAGTCTGAAGTGCAGTTGTACCTGACAAGGGATGCCCACTCTAGCACTGCTCACGTACCCATAGTATGTCTGCTTCGGCATAAGTTCAACTCCGAACACCACTTCGAATTCATGTTTTTTTCGTCGGGAAGTGCACCGGACAATCACAATTTCACATGCCCCGGACCTGCATATCTGCTGATGCCGAAGGCAAAGCAAGCGCCTCGTATGTCCAGCCAAGGCGTCGAAGACGAAGGCGAGAGGGCCGACCTGCCCCATCAAACCCAGATACACCGATATGCAGCGAACGGCATGCTCAGTCACGAACGACCTGCTGCTGGTAGTAACAGACCTGGCAGGCAGGAGACTCAGAAGACAAGATTGAATCTGCAGCTGCAGGAATGGCGTGCTGAGTCACGAACCATCTATAGACCCCATGGGTCTGATGAAGCCTGGCACAATCAGGAATCAGAAAACAATCACTGGTAAAAGGGACGCAGGGCCGGGCAAGTCTTCACCAGCATGGTATTACATACTGACATTTACATGATGTGTTGGCAGGATCAAAAACACTTCTTTTTGATCTGGATGCACGCGGGCAGTGCCAGCAGTGGACACCGCATGTCGAATGCTTGCTCTTTGTGGAACTCAATTAAAACGTAAGTTATGACTAATTATGAATTATGAATACGAAGACCAAGGCGAGCATTCGACGAACGCTAGGTGTCCTTTCCCTTACTCTTCCCGGCGCCGTCCTTGCCTTTGCCCTTGTCCTCGGCGACGCCGTCCTTGCCTTTGCCGGGCTGGCCCTTGCCCTTGTCATCGGCGGCGCCGTCCTTGCCTTTGCCCTTGCCCTTGTCATCGGCGGCGCCGTCCTTGCCTTTGCCCTTGCCCTTGTCATCGGCGGCGCCGTCCTTGCCTTTGCCCTTGCCCTTGTCATGGGCGGCGCCATCCTTGCCTTTGCCCTTGCCCT